GTCGAGTAATTTCAGTCGTCTTCTGGTTTTGAAACCGATTGAATTTTCAAGCCCGGCAGTCAGTCTCGCGCGAATATACATAATCATCATGTGTGGGATAAGATTGAGGCAAAATTGAAATGAATCGAATTAATCGCTTCTCTTTTTTTGCATCTTCACTAAGTTCACCGCCGACACTGGGATAGTATGTATTTATGTGTGGTAGTCTCCGCCAGCATGAAAGACCGAGGGATATCAGCGACGGGCTTCAAATTTAATAAACTTGTCACAACGAATCTATTTCTCATAATAGGCGCTCAGTATTCTGCCACAGCATACAATCTATTTCAAAATATCCATCGCGGGGGGCTCACATGTATTATAATAAACGCTTGTATTAAATACGCCAATGTAAGAGCTTCCGGAAAGTCAATTAAGACCCGGAAATCCCAAGAATCACAAAAAGCAATCGCAGCTGTATTCCTTTAAGAACGATGTATTTCAAACAATCGCGATTGGATGATCAATAATTTAATTATAAGCGGTTGATATCATTTTGGAACTTTTCATTATCTATCGTATTATAAATCTCTTTTTAATATCGAGATTGCTTGGTATGAGAGATGAATTGGTAAAACAATAAATAAATATCTGTGTAAAGTTTAAAACAAGCGTGATTCTGTAAAGCGAGCGATACTCGATCCGTCACATGCAATTGCTTTCAGGCATTTCCAAAAGTCAAAATTTAGTCATTCGAACTTTTGCCACCATACATAATTCAACTTGGTTCGGTCGGAGAATGAATCGCTCGATATCTCGACTGCAGGCGCGAAACGATACGTACGTACATTCCATTAAGCTCGTCACTCGAGTCGTCGCTCGTCATAACATTAAAAACAGATAAACGACGCCTTGCGAACGACTTATCTGCATTCGAGTTGGATTTCTCACACGATCGATTGACACAAGTCGATTGGAGATCTCGATTTTCCGTCCTCTCGATCGCTGCACAAACGCACCACATGCGCGTGTACTTATACCTACTGCACTCGCGATGCCGTTGAGGTCAACGCACACCGAGCGACCTTTGCGAAACGTTTCGTAAACGTGCGCTATATACCTATGATTCTCAGACAATATAGCAGAGACATACGTTCAAAACAGCACTACTTTTTCATTTTTAAACTTAATTTCACTTGTATTTTAGTTAACCCTTTTCGGCCCAAACAACACGTCACTCTTCGAAGCTGTACAGTTTACACAATTGCCGTTAGAAAAAAATGCGACCTACATATTTTTAAAGTTTGAAAGCTCTCCTTTTCAATGGTGATATTTAAATTGTGCTAAAAAGTTATTAACATGATGAAAAATTAGTTTAATGTCATATTATATGTCATTATAGAATTTTTTGAGCAATTTTTTTAATTCTGCAAAACTTTAAAAATTGCTCAAAAAATTCTGAAAAAATTCTAGTGTAATTTTTTCCTAAAGTTGATATTTATCGAGAAAAAAATTCATGAAAGTATACAAAAAAATTATGCATTTCAGACGCCATTTTGTTCATTACCCAGCAAATTTTTGGTATATAATGTGTCATTTTAAAGGTAAAACATTTATGCCACGGTTTGATGTATTTCCAAGGTCGTGGCAAACTCGAAACACATTTGAATTTTAGTTTAAAAACAAAAAAACGTGAAACAAATTGTGGCTTTTTTGTTTGAACTAATTTTTCATCATGTTAATAACTCTTTAGCACAATTTAAATATCACCATTGAAAAGGAGAGCTTTTAAACTTTAAAAATATGTAGGTCGCATTTTTTTCTAACGGCAATTGCGTAAACTGTACAGCTTCGAAGAGTGATGTGTAGTTTGGGTCGTTTTGGGCCGAAAAGGGTCTAAAGCTTTTTAGCATATTTATTATTTTTAAATCGAAATGTTGGGAATGTTAATCAATATTGTTTTTGTCATCTCAAAATGTAATTATCAATAATACACAACTCGCGGTCGACGCTACAGTAGCTACCTGCTACGTGAACTTCTTGTGGCTACAAAGTCATCCAAGTGTACGTTAATTACAATTCGAATAAAGGTCTGAAAAATAAAAACAGCTAACTTTGCGAAAGTCGAGAAGATAAGAGCTGCTGTGCAGCACGATCAAAACAGCTGACGAACTGACAAAACTCAGAGGCGTAGCGTATTATAGGGAGCGCGACCGCAATCGCAATCGCATTATATGCTTCGCGGCCTGTGTACACTTTTTATGCAATGTAATAAAAAACATTTGACGGATATGTAATAATATAGTTTAGCGTTCGCAAGAGAGAGAGTGAGCTTTATTGTTATGTCACGTTTACGTGTGTATTTGAAAGAAAGAGAGAGAATAACTGTTAAATGTTACGTTCTTCGAATCATAGTATATATGAGAGAAAAAAGAGGCTGTAAAAATTTAATGAAATATATTAAATTTTGAGCAAATTATCCCGGTTCACGCGAGTCGACGATAACAATCGACTTTAATTCATATGAATTTGTCAAAAATGTTTTCTAGCCTCTCTCGCTCGAGGCGCGCGTGCACGCGTATAATGCGCATCGATCGAATCACAATCGTGCGCACACGTTTTATACATATTTATTCACAAGCTTTCTGGGTATCAAGTAGATACAGCGTCGGTCCGGCATAACTATTATTCAGTCGCAATCACGTCGAATAATGATCGCTATAGATTTGGCTTGGAATATGGTAGAGCAGGCGATGATAAGAAAGCGAGGGCCGCAAGCCGTGCGTGGGTGAGGGCGCACGTTATATACGTATAATACATATTCAACTCCTTTGGCTCAAACTCGCTTGCACGTATAGATGTATGTATGTACGTATGAGGTTAGTCCGGAGTAGAGAGAGAGAGAGAGAGAGAGAGATCGATAAGGGACGGTACACGACTCCATTTTACATTACTCGCCCCCGCCATGCTGCCGCGCGTGCGAGGCAACTACGGATGACGTACACTTGTACACACACACACACACACACACATGCGCGAACGCGGGAGGCATGACATACGAGTGAGTGAGCGAAAGAGAAGAGAAGAGAGAGAAAGCCAACCCCTCGCCCCCGCAGGAAGGAAGTTGACGAGGGATTTATGTATACGTATAATATATGGCTGCCGATGTTGCACTTTTTTTTCTACATACCGTCTACATACATATACACTACACGTACACTCGCAAGTTATATGCAATATACATTTCTGTGTGCGTACGTGCGTACAACTGTCTTCCTCGAGGAGTTTTCATACATATCACTGGAAGAGAGGATGTAAAAGTTTATATGTGGAAATGCTCTCGAGGATGCCGAATACGATTTTCCATTTTTTAATGGCTCGCGCAACTTTATGCTCGGCAAGCAGTCGTGGAGAATTGAAAGAGTTACCCGTGCAGTTTTATCTTTCGTTCGCCCTCCCGCAAGCATCGAAGGACGTGGCAAGGGGTGACTTTTACGAGGCGCGAGCCCGAGACCTACAAATGTACAATGGAGTGCGTAAGTGCCTCACTGAATTTCGTCGTCTTGGAAAAAGCTTGTATGCGTGCGTGCAGTAGTCGAAAGTAGCTCTATTCTGCTTATGCCTATAGATATGAAGTTTATCGCTGCGCCAAGCAGAGCCGAGCTGTGCGAGCTCGCGTAATGGTCGTTGAACTTGCGACGATAAAATTAGAATCGACGACACACATACACGCCGGGGACGAGGTGAATACGTGTGTACACGTTATAGACTTATCGATGTTGCGCCTAGATAACACACATAGCACACATTTACGGTAATTATCGTTATCGACGAAATTACAGGTGATTTCATATTTTCTCAACATTAATAATGGAACAAATCTTGATCGGTCACTACGCGCGCGCGAGAGAGAGAGAGAGAGAGAGAGAGAAAGAATAGTATAACTGGGGGCTTGGCATACTTATATATAATATACAGGCGCACGTGAATAGCGAGAATTTCCAGTACGGCCAACCAGATGGTGCTTCAAAGCACGACCGGCTAAGCGAGTCGCCGACGCAACAGCGGTAGGAAAAAATAAAACGGAGTCGTCGATATTTTTACTTCCGCCTCCGTAGCTTCATATTTTACGTTTGCAGAATGAGCATGAGCTCGATAACGTTTGAAATTTTTCGATGCCGAACTGACACGGCGAAGCGAGATTTTCAGGACCACGGGTGGCTTTTGCGATTATGCTCGCGTGGCATCTTCATTCGAGCTTGAATATTTGCGGCAATGTGCATCTCATGCTCGGTGTGCAGCGGCTCTCTCGGTCTTTGCTATATAGCGGCACACTCGGCAGCGGGGCAGCAGCAGCGCGAGAAAGCCGCGACTCGCGCCTGCGCACTCCTCGTCGTCTCTCTCGTGCGTAACTACACCCCGACGAGTCTGTCGTGCCGCTATATTATATATTTGTGTGTGTGTGTGTGTGTGTGTACGTAAGTAAATTTGTACATTTTAGCATAGTGCTCCACACACACATACACACAGGTAGAAAAAAAAACATAATTCTCCCATTTCTATATATATAATACTCGCGTTGGGCGAGGAATATTTGACACGTTTCGAAGAAACTCGGCTAGTCGAATTTCTACGAGCACACACGAATATATAATGGTGTGCTTTAGGCCGTTTCGAGCGTGTGGCACGAGTGTGGTTACCGGATCAGGCCGATAAAGCACACCCACGCACACTCGCAAATACACCCGCGTACACGAGGCAAAAAGATGAGTTGAGCTCGTAGCGCGCGGCGAAAAGAGAAAGAGACGGAGATAGAAAGCTGTCTATGGGTGGGGCAGCAGACGCCCCGTACGGCAAACTGTCAAACTACGTGTATATCGGCAGCCGAAGAACTGCATATACAGCGATTATATTTACACACCCACACACACGAATGGTTGGTTTTGACTTTGCACGAAGTAAAATGTACGAGTGTCTAAAGCGTATAAAGATGTTTTTGAGCGAGCTAGGTCGAGACTTACCATCATTTTGTAATTGAGTTTTCTCGGAGCGGCAACATTCTCCATCCGCACAGACATTTTAGCGCTGGTTACTGCCACTTTTGTATCGAAAATATATAATGCGTCGAGTATACTCCTCTTCTTCTTCTGCTTCTGTTACGGAGACTCGGTGTGTTTTTTTTCACTCCGAATAAATCGATTGTGCGCGCCGACGTCTCTCTTTCTCTCTTTCGAGATTTCACAATGCAACTCGTCGATTATAACAAGCGATGCACTGCGATGAATTTTTCTTCTTCCTTACGACGTGTGTATTTATATGTATGATGATATTACGACACCTCACGTCAAGCCTCGGACGAGAAAAAAGAAGAACCAGAAAAAGCTATTTCCTGCCTCGACTTCTTTATCTCATTACCGAACTCGCACTGATTATTACAAATTCAGCCTTCTCTCGAGTGTATAAATATTATTACAAATATTATATACAACAGCACGTATGAAACACACACACTCGCGAGCACACTTTTTTACGTATAATACGTATACGCACTAGCACACTACTAAACGAGAGAGCACTGACTGACTGAGTGTACGAGCTAGTGAGTGAGAGAGCAGAAATTCCTCCTTCTCCTCTCTTTTTCTCTCTCTCTGCGTGTGCAGCTATATAGATGTATGAGTATAGCAAGAGAAAGAGAGAGAGAGAGAATTGTATGTGTGTGTGTGTATGTATGAATATGTGTGTGTAGAGCAGCCGTGAGATGTGCTCGGCAAAGAGAACTCGGCTGAGTTATATATGTATGTGAGTGAGTGGGGCGATATATATTTACACACACGCGCACACACGTCCACGATCACGAATGTGGATCGTAATAGTTGGAGCTTATCTGTCTTGTTCCGCTTTGACGACGATAATGTCACTCGCTCACTTTTTTTTAATGATTATTATTATAATTCTTATTTCTTCGATGCGGCGACGATGACGTAGTCAACGCTGCGCTGCTCCTTTTCCAAGCGGCAGTCGCTAATGACGACGTAGACGCAGTGCCGATGACGATTTGGCTAGAGCATTCGTCTCGGCTGCTGCCTTCTACCTCTTTTTCCCTCCTGCACAGATATGACACACAGAGATACACGAGTCGTTAGCTAGTGTCAATACAGACATATTAGATGTGTTAATCGTTCAAGCCACAACAGCATCATCATCAGCAGCAGCAGCAGCAGCAGCAGCAGCAGCAGCTCAGTGTATTTTATTTTTATTTTTGTTTTAGCCGTCGTTAATTATTATTCGATCGATAGGTGGATAAGCCGCGCACGGCCGAGAGCCGGTTCCAAGTGCGTCGTACGTAAAAGCGCTCGCCGATGCACGCAGAAAGTATACACACGCATGTACGCGCGCTCACAGTCTGTCGAGCTCACGCACGCGTCTTCTGCAAGTCATATGTTCGCCATGTCGTCGCGCATCATCGCAAAACTTTCGCTCGATCGTGCACGAGGAGGAGCGCATTCTCGTCGGCGATGTTTTTTCTGGTCGCGCGCACGCTACTACGAGGTGTGCGAGTTTGCGGATCACGAGGCGCGGTGCTGCGGCCCACCCGGCGAACCGAAACCCCAACGGCACCCAACACTCGACCTATCGCAGTCTATGTGTGTGCCTCAATGCGTATATATAGATATGTATTTGCACTTGGCTCGTAACGCGCGCGCGTGAACATCTCCAAAGAGAGCGAGAGAGACGAAACGCGAGAGAATTTAAGGGTGTGTCGTCGTCGGCTTGCCGCGCTCTGCACCTATATATAAATGTGTATGTGTGTGCGTGTACCTACGAGTACGTGTATGTAAACGCGGCTAGCTGTATATGATACAAGTACGCAAAATCACGATGTCGTCTATTATCGCGCATACTCTTATGGAGCTCCCGATGCGAGTTAAAAGGAGCGCACGATATTGCATACAGAAAAAAATAAAGGAATTAAAATTCACCCGCAAAGCCGAATGAGTGAATGAGTGGGAGAGGCACAGAAGGCAGTTTATATTTTTTTGAGAAAAAGACCGAGAAAGTCAGTTCATTCACACCGTGATGCGGCGCTCGTGAGCGTATTTCTTGAAAAATAAGTTTCTCCCTTTTTATTGAAGAAAATCCCTGTCTAGGGAATTGCGATAATATGTATTTGTGTGTGTAGCTTCTCGTAAATGTATGGGCGAGCGACGAGCTCGTTGCACAAAAGTAGAAGCAGCAGCGGTGTTGGCGGCGGTGTCGAGAGACTCCGCTACTACTCCGACCTTCGGAGATATTATTAGCATTACTTAGCGCTGAAAAATGCGCCGCGAGAGAACACCGTCTCGACGTAAGCTGTGGCGGATTTTAACTTCGCTCGAAGCTCTAACGCGCGCGCGACCAAAAGATTCATTTTTTATTGGCGCACCATTTCGTTTCTGCGTGTCTTCGCCTGCAGCGCGTGTTCTCTCGATGCACATTACACTCATTTATGAGTGCAAATGTACGCTCGCTCGCGTACGTGTGTGTGTGTGTGTGTGTATGCGTGCGTATGCCACGGTTAGGTTCACGACCGCTAGAAAGAGAGAAATAGATGGCTTTGGCCAAAGGATAGAGTAGAATGGATGGGTAAGAGCGAATAAGAGAGAGAGAAAGAGAGAGAGAGAACATGTAGGGAGAGGGAGAGCAACGCCGCCACCGCCACACACACAAACACACAGCTCACATACACGCACGAATACGCCGCGCTCTTGCACACACACAGTCGTCGCCGCCGTCGCCGCCGCCGCCCGGGCAAAAAGAAGACCGAAACTGCGAGTGTGAGAGAGAAACAAGATGCATGAGTTTGTATGGATGTGTGTAAGTAGTCGCGAATTCTTATTGGAATTTAAAATGCACTGCTCTGCACTGGCTGACTCGATTATGAACGTCGTTCCGATGATTCGAGCTTATGTGATTGATGTTTTCGATGATACCTACCGTTTGCGATTTAAAGAAAAGCCGCAGTTGGGCGAATTTAGGTGCATCGAGTTGTTCGATGCTCGCTTGCACACACTGTCACTCGAGGTACACAGCACCAGGGCACCATGAATATTCCTTAAACTTTTTATCTCGGCGGCACCGATCGTGCGCGTTATCTGCACTGGCGGAGTAGCCGAGCTGCTGCAGAGCGACGATTTCACGTCGTCGACTGCACGAGAATCGCGCTAAATGCGTACAGGCACAGAGCAGCACCTCTTCTTGCACTTTGCTCTATCCCTCTCTATGCCGAAGCCTCGTATATATTGTGCATATATATATATGTAAATCTTGGTAGATTTTTGCGAGCAAAGCACTGAACACATCCGCAGCCAGACGAGACCGAGCGACAAACGGATAGACAGACAGACAGACAGTCAGACAGATATATGCGTTTGATTTGGCGTTGTTATTTTCTAGCCAAGAAGAAAGGTATATTAAATTTTGCAGCAGGCCGAATCGTCGTGTACCGAGGGAGAACGCGCGAGCGCGGCGTCTCCACACACTAGCGCGACTCCAAGAGCAGCAGCAGCCGCAAGCAGTCGTGTGCAGTCGCAGAGGCTCTTCCGATCGTCGTCGCGCAGAGCCGACGTCGTCCGACTCGCTCTCTTTTGCCCCGACACTGCTCTCTCTCTCTCTCTCTCTCTCTTTCAATGTGTATGTGTCTATCTCTCTTGCTCGCCTGCTCGGCGCTCCACTCTTTTGCACAGTCGCAATATAATCGGCGAGCGAGAGCGCACACGCGAAAATACCAGCTCGCCGCACACATGCACATGCACGCGCGCTTATATGTGTACAGAGAGAAAGAGAGAGAAACGAGCCGAGCCGAGCTTCGGTAGTGGTGCGCGTAAAGCAGGGGGAGAGCGAGAGAGCTGTGCCTGTGCCTGTGGCTGCTGCTGCTAATGCTTCATGCCGGCAGCAGTAGTTGAGGGGAAAGTATTGTATACATTGCAATCTTGCTCCAAAATGTCTGCGTCCGTACGCGCGCGCGTATGTGTGCGAATCAACTCCCGAAGTGGAGAATTAGTCGTGCTAGTGGTAGTGGCACGAGGGGAATGGCTTTTACATGTGAGTCTGCCGCTGCTGCAGCAACTTCGACTTCATATACGTGTGTCTTGCAAGTCTACGTTGCTGCAGAAACTTGTATACTATGCACACATACACAGTACATCTTTGTCTTTCTCTCTCTCCAACTACTATTACCCCTCATTCGTGCGCGCGGCGCGAGTAAAGCTCGTCGAAAGCTCCGGCCTGTGGCGGATCTCAGACATTTCATTTGGATTCAATTTCTGCTTTATACTCGTGCTGGAGTGCGTGGAACATGCTATGCTTGGAAAATCCTCTCGGTGTCGATTCTGTTCGGAATCGCAGGCTCGAGTCACCTCGTGCTGCAATTCGTGCATCAGGAGCGGCGGCGGCGGCGGCGGCGACGACGACGACCATCTTGCGATCGTTCGCACGCATGCACATGCACGTAGTCTCTCTCTCTTGCTCCCTGCAAGTAGGGATCGGCTGAGATTGATGCTTAGACGCTAGGCGGCGCCACTAGCTGCAGCGGCTTTTCGCTCGCACGCAAACACATACGCATTTCGTATACGCAGATGCCGCACAAACCGGACGAGCAAAAGTTGTATGTACATCGCACGAGACAGAGAATCGCTTTCTAATAAACCAACTGGCCGCTCTGCCGATGTACCTTCTCGAGAAGCCGAAGGAGCCGCACCTGTCCGTATTATAAGGCCATGCGTATATATATGCTAGCAGCAACGTTGCCCCGGTCCGTCCCAGCCGTGCGATCGCATTTCTCTCCTATATAAACATATACGCTCGTTTTGTTCGGTTTATGTGGCTGCGTTTCTTTCGCTCTTTTGCTCGTGCATATAATGCTATATCTATGGGCGTACGGCACGGCTGAGTGTTTGACTGTCGAAATCTGGCCAAGGCCGCGTGTACATTATTTTTCGAGTATCAAAACAGCCAGCGAGATGATGTCAACTCTCGGTTTACTCTCGATCGAACTCATCGTCGAGATAAAATACTTTGTTGGCAATATATATACGCGCGCGCAATGTCGAGCTCTTTTCTCAGGGGCCTTTTAAATAGGCCTTGAAAATTAAATGTACCCGATTGTCGGACATTTAAACGCACCGTATTTGTAGTTCTTGAGATGCTACATTCAACGGCCAATAATTTCTTTGATGCTAGCTCTTTTCACCATATACAAGTTGCTGTTGTTGTTGTTTTTTTTACTTTTTTCTCTACTAATTCAATCTCGACCTAGTTAAACGATTCAGCAAAGATGATCAGGTAGTATTTCATATGATTGAATCGCAAGTAAAACATATAGACATGATAAATACGTTGGTACAGTGGTAATAAAACAGTATTCACATAGATGTAGAATGAAAAGGTGATAAACTGTTAGTGGAACGATAATGGCACTGCTATAAGACTTTGAGTAAGGTATTTCAAAAGGGGCTTGTCTCGCACGAGAGCACGAAGGTAAATCGGAGCCATAGACGAGTCACCCCTTATCACTTATCAACTTCAAAACTTTATCGAAGCCTACCACCAGGGAAGGAAAGATACATAATGATCTCTCGTGGGAGACTTTTGAGAAGCGTTCGTACCGGTCAGCTGTTGGATGTAATCATTTGAAGAATAGA